GCAGGGCAGAAGAGAAGAGGCATGTAGCCCTGAGGCTCTGGACGGGAGAAGTATGACTTAGGGGTGTGGCCAAGGCCTTGCCTCTCCTGTGGCTCCTGGAAAAGACCCTGCTCTCTCTTCATCTCCGGCAGCCCTGGGCACTCCTGCCCTGGGGGACACACCCTCACCCACTATTTCCCCACCCCCTTCCCTCAAAAGGGAGCCCTGATGGCTGAAGTAGTAATTTAGCATTAGGTTGCTAACCACAAGGCCAGCATTGAAACCACCTGCCAGCTGTGCGGGAGCTGTACCCCTGAGGCTCGTAGGCCTTCCTGAGCATCCTCTCCCCCCGCCCCCCATGTTATTTCAGGCAAACGACACCCTCCAAGGGGAGCAAGAATGGCTGGGAGGTGTGCCCACTTTAGATTGATTAGAACCATCGACCCCCCCCAGATCAAAAGGGCAGCATGTGTACAGGGAGACAGTTAGTCCCTTTAGGGCACTGGGGAGCTGGCTCTGATGTTCCCTCCTGCCTCCTGGGATAGCGCACTAGCCCCTGCCTACCTCCTCTGACCCTGCACTCCCTCGCTTCACTCCATGCAGGTTAGAGTCTACACAGAAATCGAAGCGCTGCGTGAAAGTATAAACCGACCCATGCCATTCCTTCATTCCAACCTCCCTCTGCCTTCTCTCTCAGTCAGATTGCATGTGAAGCATCGCTAGGCTCTGGAAGCCAGGGCTATCGTAGCCGACGACAGTGCCATCTTTGATACCCCCGGGAAGCAGCTGTGAAACTTCAGGAGCTGTGCATGCGTGGGGTGACCATGAGTTGGAATTGACTGGACCCCAACTAACAAATGACCTTTCTCCCCTATCAACTGAGAGGCCCTTGGGAATGGGCTTGTTTCCTAACCCACTGGCACCCAGCCTGGTGTCCTTCCTCTGGAAGTGGACATGTGCCTCTACTGGGCTCCACTCGGACCGCTGGGTTCAGGGCTGCTTCAAGTGCCCGCAGCTCAGTCACCGCTGCCAAGCCTTCCAATCTCTGACTTCAGGAAACGTTCTGGGAGACAACGAGGTGAGACTGGGTCACCTGACCTAGCAAACGTCCCCATGGCAACAGCTTGTCGCAGGCCATCCAAAAGCTCTTGGTTAATAACAGGGTCAGGGCCCACTTGCAAGGCGTGATACCTGCTCACCAAGTGCAGCTCTCTGCACAAGACTGGGCAGCCCCATCTCACTGCCTCTTCCCTGCACTTCAGAGTGACAGGCACCATCTCTTGTAAGGGTGATGCAAAGCAGCTGCTTGATGAGTGGGACAGGGCCAATGGCTTGGGGTAAGTGAACAAATGAGTCAACCAATCAACCATCCAATCAAAAGCAAATGAATACAGAGAGGAAAGCTATATGGGCCACTGGTATAACATGTAGAGGCAGCGTTGAACAGGATGGAGATACAAGCCCTACTAAATACAATCTCCCCCCAGCTCTCCTCATCCCCACTTGGTGACCCTGCATGAGGTCATTCTTGACCAATGCATCAGCTCCATTCCAGGTACCCTGATGTCCACAACCACCATTTTCAGGGTCTTCCGTATGGTTGAGTTCATCATTGTGTCTATTGTGTCCGCCCATCTGTTTCCCTCATTTGCAAAGACCCTCTGCTTCATCAAACCATCCTGCACAGGTGGGTCTGAATCTTCCAGGATGGAAACGGCACTCCCTCTAGCACAGGGATGTTAATGTATCTCAGACCCTGGAACTGGCTGGGCTTTACTTGATGGCTCACTCACTCACTCACTCACTCACTTACTCACTCACTCACTCACGCACTCACCCACCCACCCACCCACCCACCCACCCACACACTCACTCACGTACGCACCCACTCCATCATCATGGGCTGAACAGAGGGGCTCTGTACCTGTGCTCAGGGGTCCACAGCCAGGTGGAGGCGGGAGAGAAATGAGTCCACAAGAAGAAGTGAGGAGAAGGAAACTGAGATTTATTGAGCACCTGCTGGTGGGGGCATGCCGCAGGCCCACAGCACTGAGATTCCAGAAGTTTCCCAGCTCCGGAAGCACTGTGGCCAGCTCCCAAGGAGGGGCCACCAAACACTGGGATTTACCAGGCACACATCAGAGCCAAACAGGAGGGACTGTAGGTGTGCCAGTCAGCACTCAGAAGCCAGGCTGGCACTCAAAGGCTGCTTTGTCAACACGGCTCCCCCACCTTTGGCCCTGGCACGAGACCACCCAGCCATGGACAACCAGCAGATAAAGCTTCCATCAGCAAGCTGGGGTAACCGAGGCAGCTCAGTGTCCCCATGAATGGCCTGCCAGCTGGGTATGTGCACTGGCCATTGAGGAAGCATCCTGCATGAGTGGGAATTCTCTCCCCAGCCTGGCTTTCTTTTGCTCCCCTGGGAAGTGGAGATGTGGCACAGATAAGACTAGGGGCTCATCGGCTCGACTTCTGCACATTTCTTTCGGAGGAGAAGGTACATCTGGCAAGGGGCTGGTCAGCATTTCATAGCACCAAGAGCTTCCTTCCAATGGGCGGTGGGCAGTGAGATGGGGCACAATGGCCCTGTGTGTGGTTGCTCCCATTCCCTCCACCCAGCGAGGAACCCATGGAACAAGGGGTACAAAAGAGCTCAGGATAACACTTCAGGGGTTGGCTGACTGTCAGGGTGTCCGTGAAGAAGCTAAATGGACAAGTAAAGAGGAGTCTTGAACCACAAAAGATCTCCCCAAGTGTTGGCTGCTCAAGGTCCTCGCCAGAACCTCCTCCACCGCCCAGCCCACTGCTCTCTGGAAACCAACCGGACAGAAGGGAATGCGTGCTGTCTGCGTATTCCTGAGTCTCCAGTTTGGGGAGTGAGTGCTTGGGCCATGTTGGGTACAGTCAGGGAGGCTTATTATTAAATGTCCACTTAGCAATGCTCAAAAAAGACCGGGGTGGCGACAATTCTGCCTGGGGCTCCCTGGAGAGAGGAGGGCCACCATCCACGGCCCACACGCCATGTCCCAAGTCTCTGGGAAGCATCTCACCAAGAAAGCACAAGCACACGAAGCAGCAGCATCTTCAGCAATAGCAACACGACCCATCCTCTGGTGTCTGGTGTCTTCTGTACCATAAGAGCGAACTCCAGGATGAAAGAGACCAGAGAGCAAACCCACGTGGCTGCCATGGTTCCAGTCTCTGCCTTCCCCCGGCTCTGAGTTCAAGTTTCGGGTAATCGGAGCAGGCCGTGACCGGAAGCACCCCGGTGTCTCCTAGGGACCCTTCACGTTGCCTGGCCGGGCAGCCAGGCTGGCGAAGTAGGCACACTGGGAGGGGTCACACTGGCCAGGGGGGCCGGGGGGGCCAGGGGCCCCGGGATGCCCTGCAGGGCCCGTCTCCCCTTGAGGGCCTGGGTTCCCTGGGTGTCCGTCCTTTCCGTAGCCAGGCTCCCCGGGCTGACCTGAAAGGGCAGGAGGTGGGGGGACAAACGAAAATAGCCATTCCAGTCTCCCCTGGGAAAAGCACTTTGCTGGGGCCACTTTCACATGATTTCCCAGAGGGTCCATTTCAGGGGCTCCCAGGATCCACTCTTGGTCGTTCAGGAGCTGGCAATGCCTCCCAGCCATCCCTGAAGGTGTCAGGGCCTCCTCCCCAGGCCAACCCATGCCTACCTGGGATGCCAGGGGGTCCCATCTCGCCCCGCAGGCCAACTCCAGGCACACCAGGGTCACCTTTGGCTCCGCGCTCACCTGGCAAGAAAAGAGTGTACCTTGAGTGTGGTGGCCTCCTCGTGGGGACTGAGACAGAGCACCCCCTCCCCTTCCCCCACAGGAGACCCAAGCCCGGAGACATCTGCAAGCCACTCTTGCTTACACACACTCATCACATGGGGGGACAGCTGGAGCCCCACTCAACCCTCCCTACCCCATCCCCTGGTACCTCTTCCTCAGAAGGCAGGGGCAAGTGTGCAGTGGATGAGCGTGGCTTAGGCCCTGCCCACTATTGTCTTTCATGTCCCTGTGCACTTCACTGCACTAGCCAGGTGGGGAGGAGAGACTGCTGATATGCAGGGTGACCCATAGCCAGGTCAGTCACCTCCTAGGTGGTGGTGGTGGGCAGCCATTGTTAGCCACCCCTCCAAAGCCACTTCCACTGCTCAGAACCTCAAAACAAAATGCAGGTGTGTTGATTCTGAACTGCCCCTATGGGTTTCTGAGGCTGTAACTCTTTAGCGGAGTAGAGTCTCATCTTTCTCCTGAGGGGCGACTGGTGGTTTTGAACTATTGCTCTACCTGTCAGTGAGCAGCCCAACATCATGACCATGACACCACTGGGGCATTGTATCTGCACTGTGGGGCCAGGGCCTGGCAGCGCAGTGGGCTGTGTGTTGGGCTGCTAGCAGTTCAAAACCTGCAGCTGCTCCTCAGGCGGAAGAAGAGGCTGTCTGCTCCTGCAAAGACTGGGAAAACCACAGGGGCAGTTTTGCTCTGTCCTAAAGGGTGGCAAGGAGTCAGGATGGGTACTGATTTGGTTTAGAGTTTGGTGCTCAGGCAACTCGGAAGGGGAGAATGGTGGGCAGGACTAGCACTCGGAGACTTGCGCTGCGGAGAGAGAAGGGGCACAAATGGAGGGAGGGGGGTTGGGGGGCCGTGGATGTAGCAAATGAGGAATGGGCAGATTCCATCTCCCTAACAGAAGCATAATTTTGCAAAAACGTCAAGTTTGAAAACCTCTTATGCACATGTCAAAACAAACCATGGATGTCAAAGCCAGATGTTTGCCAGCTGCAGGCATGAATGAAACACGGCTTATCTGGAAGGGTCTGCAGTCCCACACCCCACAGACACGGCCGAGGTGCCTCCTCCAGGGGCTGTGCTCACCTTTGGGACCCAGCGGTCCAGAGGGTCCTTCCAGGCCCCCCTGACCTGGACGGCCTGGCTCCCCCATGGGGCCTGCCCGGCCTGGAAGCCCATCTTTTCCAGGGGGCCCGGGCGGTCCAGGTCTGCCTTGAGATGCCTTCACGTGTGCAGGGGGCATCTGGGCCAGGAGGTAGGCCAGCTTGGCTGTGGAGCAGAAGAAGGAGAGCCATGTGTTAGGAAGGAGGGGCAGGGAGGAAGGACAAGAGGTGACCCAGCACACAGCTCTCAACCCAGGAGACATTAGCCCAACAATACTGGAAAGTGCGCCAACAGTACCCTGGGTGAGGCATTGGGCCGCCAAGCGCAAGGTTAGCAGTTCAAATCCACCAGCCACTGCTTAGGAGAAAGAGGAGGCTGCTGGCTCAGGGTAAAGACTGGAGAAACCCCATGAAGGGTCCTTGTGGGTCAGGATGGGCATGGAAGCCGTGGGTATCTGGGACTCACTTTCTAACTGCTTCTCCAGTTCTTCCCGAATCAGTCGTCGCAGGGTGTCCATGGAAGGAGCCTCCCCCTAGGAACAGGAAGTGGGGAGAGTACTGGTCGCAGAAGCTTCTGCCGTGGGAGACCCCTGATCTAGCCCTTCTCTTTGCTCAGTTGCATGCCTGGTCGGCCAAGAGAGGACCCTCTCCAGGCAGGCGTGTGCCAAGCCAGACCAAGGCCCAGACCTGCATATGGAGCACGGCTCCCACCCACACCAGCCTGGAAGACGGAGAACTCCCCCAGAGGCTCGACTCCCGATGGAACCGGGTGGCCATGTCTTCCTCCTCAGGAGCCTGATCTCCGGTGAGTGATCTCCCATTTGACCACCGCCCTACCAGAAGGACCTTCCCTTCGGCCAGCGGAGGCTCCTGGGTGGCTGTGACGCGGAACTGGTTTCAGGGAGCTTCCAGGCCAACGGGGGCTAAGGAGAAAGGCCTGGGCATCGGTGAAACCTGGATCACCAGGGTCTGAGCCCATGGTGGGCTCAAGGGGTCTCGGGAGTGGGGCCAGCTCCCAGGGGTGAACAAGAAAGCACGTGCCCCGAGAAGGTGGTCTTTCTGAAGCTGTGTTCCTGCAGACCCTTTTCCTAGTTTGTGAACCTGGAACCCTTGCCTTTCAGACCCAAGGAGGTTTGACACAACAGGCAGACCCCCACCCCTCCACCAGCTCTCGCCTGGGGGATGCCCCGTGCACCCCAACGGCCGTGTCATGAGAAAGGGGGCGCAGAGGAAGAGGCCCTTCCTGTCCCTGAGGAGGAGGAGCCCCCCCACAAGCTACAGGAGAGCCCTGCAGACACCGTGCTTCAGCCCTTGGCTGCTAACTGGATGCCCCGGGGTTTGAACCGCCAACTGCTCTGAGGGGGGAAGATGGGAAATGTTGCTCCACCCTGTGTGGTCGCTATGGCTCCAGATGACTCCATGGTGACAGGTTGGGTTTGGGTTTGGGTTTGTGAGCCATACTAAGGAGGCCTGGTGGCTCAGTGGTTAAGTGCACGGGCGCTAGCCAAAGGTCAGCAGAGCTTGAACCCACCAGCTGCCCCTTCTTCTATCAATGGTCAAGCCTGTGGGACTGTTCATCCTTGTCCTGCAAGGTGGCTCTGGGAGGGAGCCGTGTCTCATGTGTGGGTCCAGGTCTGGGTCTGGGTCTGGCTAGGCACATTCCTGACATGAGGGGGTCCCATCGTCCCCCTCTTTTGTAGACAAGGGGAAGACTAAACATGGTCACAGGCCCAGGCACCTACAGGCTGCATTCTGTCACCAGCCCCCACCCCCTCAGGCCGAGGGGAACCCTCAAAGGCCATGCACACATGCTTACCCTCAGTCCTGGGAAGCCTGGCTGGCCGGGCGGTCCTGGGGGTCCTACCGGTCCGTTCTCACCTGGTACTCCCTGGGGACCCATCAGGCCCGTGTGGCCTTTGTGGCCAGGAATTCCAGGGTCCCCAGGCTGGCCCTTCCCACCGGGAGGACCTTTGTCCCCTTTGGTTCCCGGGTCTCCCTGGAGGAGGAGAGAAGTGTTTCAGTGGGCAGGAGCGTCTCCCAGCGGTCTCTGCTCCTGAAATGCCCCGCAGACCTGTGCCCTGGCTGGCAGCAGTGAATGGGACAGGAAGGGCCTGTTGCACCCTCCCACCTGCTGGCCTGGCTGTCACTGACCCACGGATGAAGGGGGAGGCCAAGCTGAGGACCCCCCATCCCACTCCCCAGCCTTCACCCCCTGGAGAAGGCCAGTTCAGGGGCTGGGTGCCGAGAGCTGAGCCCCCTATGAGGGGCAGTAGTGCCTGCCACAGCCAGGCCCTCCCCAGTTCCTCTGCCCAGGAGCGCAAAGGACGGGGGTCCAGCTGCTTCCATGAAACCACTCAGAAGGGGGGAGGGGATATCTGGACATACCAGCTGGGACTCAGACCCAGCGAGCATGACCAAGCACGGGCCGGCTGGTGCTTCCTCATGACTCCACAGGGATCCATGCCCCGCGTGTTTCACCATGCCAACGATGACGCCTGGCACAGACTGCACATTTGAAAGGAGGCGTTGCTTCTGCCGGGAGGGGCTGTGGGGCTGTGTGAGACCGAGGCCGGCCAATCTCCGACGTGGTGCAAACATGGGCAGAAATGCCATCCACACACGAGGCGAGGGAACAGGGCTATGAGAGCTTCAATTGCAAACGCTTGGCTTACAGACATCTGTGGGTGATGGTGGAAGCCCCAAATCCATTTACAGGGACCCCACATGCATGGAGCCTCCGGTGAATCCCCTGTGACCACAGTCCAGGGATGTGAGTAGCCTGCCTGCCGGCCTGAGAGTACTGTCATGCAGCCCCCGGCAGGTATAGTTCGGCTGAACACCCGATCACTGGATCTCCCTTGGGACCCATTTTAAAGTGGGTTAAGCACTTTCATTTCTTCTGGACTGCGGTGTTTCTATGCGTTGTCCGCTGTTTGTGGTGGTTCCTTTTTGTTCGTCTGTTCGCCTCCTGTCTGGGTGTTGTGTGATACTCAGGAGATGGACAGAGACCGTCACTGGTTTGGTCATTGCCCAGGCGGCTGCCAGGGGAGTGTCGGGGGGCAGCAGGGAGGAGGGGGAGGAAACCTTCTCAAATGGATTGTGGTGATGATTGCATGACTGAACAATTCTATTATGTGATAGGTGGGAAAATGTTTTCTTTTGTAATTTTAAATTTTCAATGGAAAACTTGGGTATATGAGCAAGCAAGCAGGAGTCAGCGGTGCTTCCCTTGCTTGCAGGGCTTCTCTGACAGAGTGCGGATGAAGGACCAGGAGAAGAGATTCATCCTTGTGGCCTGGATCCAAGCCCACAGCTCTTAGGGGCCAGCAAGCACCCCACAGGAGCTGGACCTTGAACATGAGGACCTCAAAGAGCCCACTGCCCTGGATCCACAGTGCAGGGCCAACAGCAGAAGGACAGAAGACCCCCCAAGATGAGGGTCCTTCGGCCCCCTTCAAGTTTGGGCCTAAACTCACCCCCACAGCTCCGTTTTCAGCCAAACCACGGGCAGGTCTCTCAGGGGACCCCTCGCACCATGGAGAGATGAAGAGTGGCTCTCAGCCTGTGGGTCACAACCCCTTTGGGGGTCAAACAACCCTTTCACAGGGGCCACATAAGACCATTGGAAACCACATAAATATTTCACAATATATAATTACATATTGTTTTGTGATTAATCACTATGCTTTATGTTTAATGATGTTCAATTTGTAACCCTGAAAATACATCCTGCCTATCAGATATTTACACAACGATTCATAATAGTAGCAAAATGACAGTTATGAAGTAGCAATGAAAATAATTTGATGGTTGGGGGGGGGTCACCACCACATGAGCAACTGTATGACAGGGTCACACCATTAGGAAGGTCGGGAACCGCTGCCTTAGAACAGTCCATCATTGGAATGCAAAGGGTGGGATTCTCCCAGGACAAAGCTCCCAGAGGGCCTGGGAGTGGAGGAGGAATGGAGAGGAGACACAGAGGAACAGGAAGCATGGTGGGGGGCGGGGAGGGGGGGCGCAGGGCATCAAGGACACAGAACACATGCCTAAACCAAACTCACTGTCCCGGAGTCAATATGACTCAAGGTGAGCCTGCAGGACAGGGTGGAACTGCCCCTGTGGGTTTCTGAGACCCGCACTCTTTGAAAGGCCCACCTTTCTCCCTCGGAGTGGCAAGTGGATTTGAACTGAGGACCATGCAGTTAGCAGCCCAACACGTAACCCCTCTGCCACCAGGGCTCCGAATGTGTGTGATTTCTGTTACGCGGATGATCTGCTCTGTAAACCTTCACACTCAAAAAACTCAAACTCCCTGCCGTTGACTCGGCTCCCACGCACCACGACCCCACCCACAATACCAAAAGCAACCGCTGCCGTGGAAGGAGCGCAGACCGACAGCGAGCCCTGTGGGTTTCCAAGACATTGCTCTTGGTGGGGGAGGAAAGCCCCTCTTTCTCCCTTAGAGCAGGCGGCTCCACGCCTTAAGGACTATGCTCCTCAAACCACCCCCCCAAAAAGCAGCAGAGTCAGAGGAGTGGAGGAGACAGATGACAGACAGACAGGAGGAGGAGGAGCAGGGACGGGCACCAGGGCTGTGACTGCCCTGTGGCATTGATACAGACATTGATACCAGCAGGCAGCACGGAGGCCAGTGGGCACAGGGGCTGCCTGCCCACCCTATGCCAGCAGCAGCTGTCAGAATGTGAGACCACCCCTCTCTTCAGATTCTGCTGCAAAAACGCCCCCGCCCCCGTCCCGTTGCCTTTGGAGAAATGTAAAGAAACCCGTTCCAAGCGTACGCCAAGCTGCCACCACCACCTCATTCTGGGAAAAGCTGTCCCCTTGTCACCACCCCCCACCCCTCCACAACGAAGCTGGCTTCGAACAAACTGGCACTTGCGGGCTCAGAGCCGCGGCTGCTTTGTCGTGGGGAAGGTGGGGCGGGTCTGTCACTGTCCAGCCCCCTCACCCCTCAGTGTGTCGATGTACTCATTTCATGCCTCAAAGGAACAACACAGAGGGGAGAAAAGACACAGGAAAGGGGAGGAGATGGACCCCCCTGGTGGACTTGGGGAAAGTGCTAAGGAAGCCAGTGGTCTACCGTCCAGCACAGGCTGACCCCAGCCTTGCCGACCCCCAGCCCAGGGCGAGGCCCCCTTCCCCACTTACCCTTTCTCCATTGGACCCAGGCTCTCCTGGCTTCCCGGCGACACCCTGCAGGGGCATCCAAGGGGAGGGCGGTCATTCCCTGGACGTATGGGTAGGACTCTGATCCTTCTACACAGTCCCCTGGGCTGGCCGTGCAGGACCCTTTGGGTCCTCATCCACATCCACGTTCCTCCCGGCCTGCTACTGCGGCCTCTCCCAGGCCCTGTGGCTAGGGCACTAGCTCTGCCCCCACCAAACCCTCTCCCGGTAACTCCCAGAGTTCCCAGGTGACCCTGCCCAAGCAGGCCTTAGCCCAGTCCTCACTGCCCTGTACCTGGGCAAATGTGCCCCTCGCTGAACCCAGGCAAATGAAGGCTACTGCCCTGGTCCCTCTGCCCACTCCCTCCCCACCAGGAAGCCCTTCTGGTCCCCTGTCCCAGTCACCAAACTCCCACCCGACCCAGATCCCCCTTGGAAGTCGTTCCTGGCCTTCCGGCTATTGGGGACAGGCCCTCTTCAGTGCCACTGGTCCGAGAGCCCTCCTGGAGGGCGATCCCTGGATGTATACATTCACTGCCTTCTCTCTGCTGAGGGTGCCTTTGCAACTCCTCCCCAGGGCTGTCCCTTTATCCCTTTGTTGTTCTTGTCCCAATCCTCGACTCTCCGGCCAGGGTCCTGTCCTCACACACAGGGCTCATGACACTGGCTGACCTGCCCCAATGTGGTAACAGGCGGGTGTTTGTTTGCCACCCTCCCGGTGTCTGCCCCTAGACAGGCAGCTTTCACACATCAGGGGCTGTGATGAGTTCCCCTCTGAGCTTCCTGTTCAGGTCCACCCTGTCCTCAACCGGCTGCTGTGGAGTCAACCTCTGTGCCCCCCAGAGACATGCCACCTTGGCTGGGCCATGATGCTCAGTGGTTTGGTGTGATTCTCAGTAGTGCGATGATATCATTATCACCATGGTCCATGAGGTGTCTAAGGGATCAGGTATAAGGCATCATCAGAACAAAAAATCTTACCATAGTGAATGATGGGGGGAGTGTGGAGTGGAGACCCAA